GCAGCATGGCACAGCACGGCATGGCTCGGCGCAGCCCCGCGGCAGCCTCCGCTCACCGTCCTGGCCCCGGATGACGTGGGCGATGGTGACCCCGCCAATCTCCGAGTCACTGAAGCGCAGCAGGAAGGTGCCGTCGGGCTCCGTGCTCAGCAGCTTGCAGACGTACTGCTTGCTGATGAAGCCCACGATGAGCCTGGAGGGACGCGCAGAGGGACAGGAGGGCAGGGGCAGGGCAGCGGGGTGGCACCTGGGCCCCCTGCTACAGCCCCCCGGCACCCACCTGTCAGACCAGTAGCTTTTGAGGCACCTCTTGGTGAGGTCGGGAAGGTGCCGTCGGGCTCCGTGCTCAGCAGCTTGCAGACGTACTGCTTGCTGATGAAGCCCACGATGAGCCTGGAGGGACGCGCAGAGGGACAGGAGGGCAGGGGCAGGGCAGCGGGGTGGCACCTGGGCCCCCTGCTACAGCCCCCCGGCACCCACCTGTCAGACCAGTAGCTTTTGAGGCACCTCTTGGTGAGGTCGAGGACGCCGTCGAACCACTGCCAGAAGGTGAAGCCGCGGCCGGGCAGGATCTCCTGCAGGGAGGAGGAGGAGGAGGCAGGGAGGGACGTGAGGCTCCGGCGCTGTGCGGGGTCCCCTGGGCCGCCCGGCCACCCCCACCTTGTTGAACTGGGCCCAGGAGACGCTGCGGCTCTGGAAGTCCTCGGGGCTGGCGCTGTGGTCGTTGAAGATCTTCTGGGCCAGGAAGAAGTAGTGCTCCTTGAGGAGCCCCTTGGTGGTCTGCACCTCCGCCATGAACTTGAGGTTCAGCGTGTCGCACATCTTCTCCCAGGGCACCCGCTCGGCCACCACGAAGGGCACCCGGTCCTGGGGGATTGCCACGTCATGTCACCCACTCTGTGGCACCCAGTGCCCGGCCCGCGGGCTGGTGACACTCACGATCTCGGAGAAGGCATTGTCCCACAGCACCGTGGCCTTGGCGTTGTTGTCCTGGTTCCCGTGGACGATGACCACGATGGGCAGCGACAGCACCTGGGCAGCCAGCAGAGCCGCTCAGCCGGGCAGCCCTGGGAGCATCGCGGCCCCCACGGCACCGCGGGCGCTACCTGCAGCTGCACCGTGAGGTTGCTGGGCGCGAGCACCACCGTGGTGCTGAAGAGGACGGCGCATTTCTCCTCTGTCACCGACTCGGAGCCCTTGCGCTCGCAGCGCTTGATCTTCTTCAGCAGCTGGCGAGAGGCCGAGGCGGCGTCACCGTGGCCGTCCCATGTGCCACCCCGGTGCCCGCGGCCCCCCGGTGGCACTCACCACATTCTTGAAGTTGGCGCAGCAGGTCGCGCTCGTGGGGTTGGTCTCCAGGGCCACCACGTTGTGCGCTGCCCTGAGCGGTCTGCTGGCAGCGCTGGGCGCCAGCTCCCGTGCCTGCTTCTCGGTCACCATGTCGGCCCGCACCGCGTAGGGCTTGGCCGGCGCCTGCAGCAGCCGCGGGCCCAGCAGGAAGCGGACGCTGGCCTGGAACTTGGTCTGCGTCTTCAGCACCTGCGGCGGCTGCTTCTCCACCAGGAAGGAGCTGCGGGGCAGGGGGTGAGCGCGGGCCGGCCCCGCGCGCCGCCCCCCGGCCCTGGCGCTTACCTCTTGACCAGGCTGCAGAGCACCTCGGCCAGGCGCTCCAGGAGGCGCGGCAGCAGGG